CTCGATCTATTACGGTATAGAAATATTAGCATTCCTCCACCACCACAGCGCTGCCTCTAGGCATCACTTGAGAGACAAAGATGCCGAAGGACTTTGATGTTGAATTCTTTTTTGTGGTTTGCGTGTTTTTTTTTTATTTTTTATCTGTCTCTATTTAGAGCTGAGATCTGCTAAGGTTTGGAGGAGATGATTCATATCTGAACAGATAGTTTGGACAAATAATTTTTTTTTTGGGGGGGAGGGGGGTAAATTGAACAGATAGAAGAATTTCAAGAAAAAAAAATTGAACAAATATTGAACAGATCTATTGTACTTTTTTATCTGTTCAATACATCCTTACTGTAATCTCTCTTTTTTTTCTTTTTTTTTTTTGATGAAACAAATAGTTTAAACATATTAATCTCTATTTTTTTTCTTTTTTTTTTTTGATGAAACAAATAGTTTAAACATATAAAATGTAGTGTATAGTTTGTATCCCTCAGCGGTAACTGGCTTTGATTTGTACAGATTGTGAATCTTCTCTACATGAGAACAAATTGATGCTATTAAACATATAAATTTTAAATAGATAGAAAATTAGACTGATAAAATTTGGACAAATAAAAAATTTACAAAGAAAATTTTTTGATAGATAGAAAAAATTAAATAGATAGATATAAATTTGAACAAACAGTCACAAAATTTGAACAGGTAGATAAAAAATTCAAACAAATAGACAAAAAAATTTAAACATATAGATATAAATTTGAACAGATAATCAATGAAAAATCAAACAAATAAAAAAAGGTCAAGAGATAAAATTGAAAACAAAATGTCCTGTAGAATTTCTTACCAAATTATTTCACAAAGCATGGATCTCTCATCAATAAAAAAATATCTACTAGACCTAATATCTTAGACACTCCTTAGATTAGATTTATCACAAATTTTCTCTTTAAAAAAAATAATTACAAATCAATAAAAAAAAAAACTTAATAAACATTATTCATTAAAATTATAAGAAATTTCATAAATTTGTATTTTTTTTTTCTTCCTGCCATCAATGTAATTACCCCTATGTAATATGTCTAGGGAGATTCTTCACTTTATTTGAAATATATATATATATACAAATTTATTTTTTAGAGTTAATAACGTATAATACAAATACCCCTGAGGTTTGAGAAATTACGAATTCCCCCCTGAATGCTATATTTGCATAAGAAATTAGGAGGTAATTTGTTATGAAATAAAAACCTCATGGGGTAAATTGTTATGAAAATACAAACCTCAGGGGGGCGGGATGTAATTTCCGAAACCTCAAGGGGATATCTGTAATTTAACCAAACCTCGAGGGGTGTATATGTAATTTGCCCAATAATTTAAAAGAGCTAGGGTGGATGAAACTTCAAGATTGCTTTGGGGTTTTGGGCTTGGACTACTAGACTGTGTAAGATTCTAGATTTTTGTTGGATGAAAATGTACTACTTTTTTGTTTTTTGTTTTTTTTTCTTATTCTTTAGGAAGAAGTTATTTATAAATATCAAGAAAGTTATTTTAGTAGGCTATTTGATTTTTTGACTATTTTAATAGGCTATTTTAGTTTTTGTGTTTGGAAAAATAAGATAGATTTTATTTAAGTTGTTGTATTGAAAAATGTGTTGAAATGATATTTGTGTGACGCCCCAAATTTTTTTTTTTGAAACATCATAAGATTTAAATAACGATAACTTGCTAGATAAAGTTTTAACTATTAATTAGGAACTTTTAAGTTCTTACATAGTCAAAGTCCAACAACAAAATAAAACTACAAATTCATACCCAACGTCACAACATAGTTAAATCCTAATACAAGGGATAACAGGATTTTATTTCGATAAAATCTTGACTCTAAGTCAGCCAAGTTTCGATATTGGCAGCAGCTCCAATTTCAGCCTCAGTCCCTTCTTCAACATAATCTGGCATGAAACGCCAGGGCAACAAAATATATGCCATGAGTTTTGCAACAAAATAAGAAAATGTAACCAACCTACCATTCTTTTTAAGAGAAAAATAATAATATTCTAAACATGAGATAACAATATAATTATACACAGAATTTACAACCATTAGAATAATTTCAGTAATTTTTATAAATTATGTGACACTCGAAATCTCACCAAAGATATTTAACTTACCAACCACTAAGCATGGTAACGGTTAATTTGAAACCCTCCCTTGGTCAAATATTTAAGTGTTACCAACCGTAACTACCAGGGATGTCCACATCCGAAGTTATATACCCAAGTAGTGGCATCCGTGGTCTGCCCCAAGGAAACAGTCTGCCAGGGGTAAGTAACCTCCCTGTGTGCCACCTGCACATCCATCCTTATTCCAAAACCGAATACCGAAAAGAGGTCAAATAAGTCTCGTGCCATCTTAGAGTTTCGCAACCCAATTTACGTGAGAATTCTCAAAACCAGGGCTCACCCTGAACAACCGGTGTTAACCGTCAACACTTAATCTCGTACAGTCTGTAAACCAAGACTCACCCTGAACAACTGGTATTAATCGTCAATTGTTAACTTTGTATATGCCGTTAATCATTTCAGTTAATTTTGATATTAATCACAAATAATTCCAAATTTTTAATCACAAGTAATGTTATACCAACTCATTAAAATTCCCAATCATAAAATATTGCATGTGTCACACAATACTAAATAAAAGTACAGAATTGAAATAAATAATTTATTTAAACCATGGTATGAAATAATAACTTAGATACAAGAATTAAACCCTAAACACACACATGCACAAATTTTTGATTTACAAAATTAGACCAGCATAATATTAAAGTGGTGATTTTATCCTGTCCAGACAAAATTTTCAGCATATATATCTTGACCAAAATAAAATTATTAAATACATTTACTTATACAACTCTAAAATTCATATCAATCTACAGAATAATCCATAAACATGTTATGGTCATTTTTCAGAAAGCTTTTTCCAAAAATAACTTATAAATAATTCTAAACAAATTCCAAGGGTGTTTATGACACAAATTTGTCACATTTCCTTATATTAATTCCATGCTTAAATTTATAGATCAAACCCATAATCTAAAAATTTATCATGAAACTAGACTTCTCAAATTTCATCTTTTAGTTAGAAATTACCAGATTTGGCTTAGTATAGAATTTTAAATAAATTTTCAAATACATGGTAAAATCTGTCTCACAGTTTCAGATTTAGTTAGAAATTTGTATAAATTCGTAGAAAGCTCAAAATTTGTTTCCAAACATTTCTAGATAAATTAGACATCATTATAAATAATTTTGTAGAAGAAATCATCTCAAAATTTTGAGTGTAAAATTATCTAAAAATTCGGGTAAACATGCTGGCAGATTCAAAACAGATTATTCTTAACACAGTTTCAGATTTAGTTAAAAATTTGTATAAATTCGTAGAAAGCTCAAAAATTATTTCCAAAACTTTATGGACAAACTAGGCATCATTATAAACAACTTTGTAGAAGAAATCATTTCGAAAGTTTGAGTATAAAATTATCTAAAAATTCGGGTAACAGGCTGGCAGATTCAAAACAATTTATTCTCAACACAGTTTCAGATTTAGTTAAAATTTTTTATAAATTCGTAGAAAGCTCAAAAATTATTTCCAAAATTTTTTGAACAAACTAGACATCATTATCAACAACTTTGTAGAAGAAATCATTTGGAAATTTTGAGTATAAAATTATCTAAAAATTCGGGTAACAGGCTGGCAGATTCAAAACAATTATTCTCAACACAGTTTCAGATTTAGTTAAAAATTTGTATAAATTCGTAGAAAGCTCAAAAATTGTTTCAAAAATTTCTGGACAAACTAGACATCATTATCAATAACTTTGTAGAAGAAATCATTTCGAAATTTTGAATATAAAATTATCTAAAAATTCGAGTAACAGGTTGGCAGATTCAAAACAATTTATTCTCAACACATTTTCAGATTTAGTTAAAATTTTGTATAAATTCGTAGAAAGCTCAAAAATTATTTCCAAAAATTTCTGGACAAACTAGAGATCATTATCAACAACTTTGTAGAAGAAATCATCTCGAAATTCTGAGTATAAAATTGTCTAAAAATTCGGGTAATATGCTGGCAGATTCAAGACAGATTATTCTCAACACAGTTTTAGACAATGTATCAAATGTACATAATCGGAAAAATTTCAATTATATTAAAAAAAATGAGAGGGTTGAGAGGGTTTTCTTACTTAGTAATAGAGTGACAAAATGGTTGAGAATTTTGGCTTCCTTAATCTCCTACTCTTCTTCCTCTCCTATCACTAAGCTTGGTTGCTTAAGAGATTTCTCTCCTCTCTCTTTTTTTTTTTTTTTTTCTTCTACCGAATACTTGCATGCATATATATATAAAATGCTAGTTGAAGACATCTCTCTCTCCCTCTCATTCTTTCCATTATTATTATTATTATTATTTTTTTCAAAAAATTCCATTCCCTTTCTCCAATTTCTAAGAGCAAGCTTTCCCTAAATTTTATAAACTTTTCCCTAAATTTTACAAGCTTTCCCTAAATTTTATGGCTATCCTAAATTCTAAAAGATGGTGGGTTTGGTAGGAGCTGTGGGTTGTTTGCCCACGGTTTGTTTGTTTGTATTTTTTTTTTTTCATTATACTCCCCACTACACTTCTCCTTACCCCAAGAATGATAATGGGATGGAAGTTACCAAGCTTACATGCAAGCTTGCATGTGGCATATACTGCCACCGAATCAGATTCCTCCTTTTTTTTTTTTTTACTAATAAATTATAACAATAGTTATTAAACATCCACAACATTTTTATTCTTAATAAGGTCTTTGTTAGTGATTGAATTGAGTCAATTTAAAACTAACTTTTACACTAATGTATAATTCAGATAGACTGTAGACAAAATTAATTAATAAATTTTCTTTAAAGAATAATTAAAAGATGGGTTTTCACAATCTACCCTCCTAAAAGAAAATTTCGTCCTCGAAATTAATTCGTACCTTTAGACTCGAATAGTTGAGGGTAATTGACACGTATCATATCTTCTCGCTCCCACGTTGACTCTTCCGTCCCACGATGTCTCCAGAGAACTTGAACCAATGGTATAGTTTTGCCTCGTAATTTCTTCTCGCGACGATCTAAAATCTTGACAGGCTTTTCTTCAAATGTCACGTCTTCGTCAAGATTAATCTCCTTCCAATTGATGATGTGAGAAGGGTGTGGCTCGTATTTCCGTAGCATAGAGACGTGGAAAACGTTATGTACTCCAGCCAGTTGAGGCGGTAGAGCCAAACGGTATGCCACTTCTCCGATTTTGTCCAAAATTTCGAAAGGTCCAATGAAGCGAGGTGACAACTTTCCTTTCTTTCCGAAACGAACAACTCCTCGACGAGGCTGTATTTTCAGCAACACATGATCTCCAACTTTAAATGCTAAAGGTCTTCTCCTTTTATCTGCATAGCTTTTCTACCTACTCTGAGCGGTCTCATGCCTTTGCCTAATTAGTTTCACTTTCTTGGTAGTTTCTTGAACTAACTCTGGCCCTAAAAGAGGTGCTTCTCCGACTTCTATCCAACATATTGGTGACCGGCAAGGCCGTCCGTACAAAGCTTCATACGGTGCCATACCAATACTTGCTTAAAAATTATTATTGTAAGAGAATTCGACTAATGGTAAATGTTTCTTCCAACTACCTTTAAAGTCCATCACACAAGCTCGAAGCATGTCTTCTAAAGTCTGAATTGTTCTTTCTGATTGACCGTCAGTTTGAGGGTGAAAAGCTGTCCTAAAACACAACTCTGTACCCAAGGCTTTCTGCAGACTTTGCCAGAACTGTGACATAAAATGAGAATCACGATCTGACACTATTGAGACTGGTACTCC